TAGGGTTTAGGGATACCGCAAGACTTGACCCTAAAACATCGAAGATAGAAACGCCCACATCGGCGAGCAAGCCCAATTATGCGGGCTCTTCCGCTGCAGCTTGTGGGCATCTTCACCCAGCAAATCAACCCGAAAACAAAACACAACATGATTCGCATAACTTAGGGGTTGTGGTTAAGGGTTTAGGGTTTAGGGATTAGGGATTAGGGTTAAGGGTTTAGGGTTTAGGGTTTAGGGTTTAGGGTTTGGGGTTCAGAGGTTGAGTCAGGGGGTCATACGCTCGAGGTTTGGGACCCTAACCCTGTTGCCCCATATGACCTTAACCCCAGGATGTAACTACATGTGCAAGTAAAGTTGCATCCTAAACTTACCTGCGCATCGGCTGGGAGGGAGATACGCGTGGGGGGTGTTACTTTCTAGTTCTTGGCTTGAAAATATTGCTCAAATGGATCCAAACAAAAAAGCCAAATAAGGGACACCTTTCCAGCGAGCCAGCAGCGAGGAAGAGCAGCTGAGGAGGCCTTAACGAGGGCTTGGTTACATCCCCCCCCTGGGCTCCTTCGAGTCGATAAACCCGGCGCCCCTTTCTTGAAAAAGCCGCCCATTCTGTGCGAAGAAGGGACTCCCGGGCAACCATCGCATTAGCGTCGCAGATGGAGGGAGGGCGGCAGTCCAAAGGGTTGTGCCTGACTTCTTGGCGTTTCTTTTGGGTGGCGAAGGCCACGGCGAAGCCCCAAAAATCGCCACACCTGGGTGTGTCTCCTGATGGGGGGATTCCATGCCAAGGCAGGCCCTTGGCCCTTTGGCTGACACCTTCGTTGTCCAGTAAACCTGGGGGAACTAAAGGTTAACCTTTGGGATACTAGGGGGATTATATTACCCCAAAAAGGTTAAAGGTTATCTACTCTACTACTAGGACACCCTCCGTCGAGCTGTGCAAGATTGTGCAAGCATCTGAATGTCTGCGGCCGGTCGTCGCACCGAAAGCTTTCACGAGCGGCTAACTACACCAGAGTAGTGGGGTAACCCTAAACCCTAAACCGTAAACCCTAAACCCTAAACCCAGGGAGTAGTGGGGTTTTTTGGCAAGCATTGGTGCTCCGCTGCAAGATGGTGCATGGAGGCTCCGGCCACTTGGTGGCTGCCCTCCTCTCTCGCGCGACGACAGGCCAAACAGGAAGGAATGAGCACAAAGGAAGCATGCCACACCAGTTTTGGTGAGGCTTTTCTGGCTGGTTCTTAGTAGGGAATGAGGGCCCTATATCATCCCTTAAAAGGTACATATAGGGCCCTCATTCCCCCATTCCCTACTGAGAACCAGGATATTTTGTCAGGTGAACGGCTTTCTGCATGGGATTTGTGTAGAAACTATTTCTAGGTTGAATGACTAACAGACTTCACCTGCATTGGACCGACATGCCCCTGCCTGAAAAGGTTCATGGGCCCTGCTTCCCGGAAGCAGAAGCCGCAGCGGCGGACCAAACTGCCAGCTTTCTCGGCGCGGGTGCGAATGATATTGAGGGGTAGTTTGCTTTGAGCCGCGTGCCAGGCAAACCGAGAGGACTCAACACCTTCGGAATGGGCATAGAATGACCTCTCCCGAAAAGAATGTTGAAGGAAGCAGCGCCCCTCTTGCCGAAACTTAACGGAGCGCTTTCCGCAATCTGTTCCCTGAAGAAACAAACAAGTAGCCAGAAGGTATTTCCCAGAGTCGAAGAGTGCCAACGGATGCCTTACTGTGCCTGTGGCCGGAAAGCTGTGAAAAAATCCACCGGTCCCACGTACGAACTGATTCAGCCTAGTTACTAGGCTCTTACAATGGCATGCCTTCTAACATCAGCACATCAGAAGGCCTCACGCGCCAAGGCCTTGCGCAAGGTCTGCTTGAGGGTCTCGGCCATGACCGGCGACAGGGCGGGGTCGTTCTGCTGAGCGGAGGCCTGCGCTGCACGAATGCGCCTCTCCGTGATCTTCCGGGAGAGCGGGCTGTCCGGGAATGGCGCTGTCGGAGGCGCCTCGTCACGCAAGGATCGGCTCCTCTTTGCTTCAGCAGTGAGCGGCCGGTAGCTATTCGCACGGCGGGCGTGGATGCCTTTGCCACTGATGGACACATCCCCAGAAACAGGCTGTCGCGGCTCTTTTGGCTCCTTCTCGATCACCGGCCGAGGACCGAAGCTTTCCGCAAGCTGCCCCAAGTCCCAGCTGTAGTCGGGCTCCACGGGTTCCGGGGTCATGAAGAAGCGGGACTCTCCTCGCTCCACGTATCTCGTGGCCACAGACTGGTCCATCTCCCTGAGCACTTTGCTTTGGAGCAACGTGAAGGCTTCGGAGGCGTCGGACACCGGGGACAACGTTGCTGGGGACATGCATCGGCCAGGCGGCTCGGATAACACGGCGCCAAACGGTGTCTCCTTCATCAAAGGTAACGAGATGGCCTCAAAGGGGCGCAGAGAGCCAGCGCCGTCAGACGAGAAGCTGTCGAACTTCTCGAAGGTGCTGTCCTGCTTGGGGTGTCTCAGACTGCGGTTCAAGGTTTCTCGGGGGTTCTAGGGTTCTTTGGGGCCTTCGGTTCTGCACAAGAACTCGACAACAGCTTGGCCTAGGGCCTAGACTCAGACAGGGCACAAGAGGAACACCAAAGAGGGTTCCTAGCGGGCGAGTACGGACCTACCAGCTCCTTCTTCGAAAGAAGCTAGATGCCGCAATCAATAAGAGTTGAGGCGACGAAAAGCACACAGGGCCATGACCAGCGACGATATCAAAAAATGCGGGGGCCCAACATCACGTTGTGAAAAGTACCAATACACATAGCAAACACACACACACACACACACACACACACACACACACACACACACACACAGAGACACCCCGACAGCGCGCTGTTGCTGAAAATTGACTCAAGCAGCACCCCAGTAGATCATCGAATCGGGCCAGGTTTAGTCAACACCTGCTCAAAAGCTGCTCGAAGCTTTAGAGCTCGCAGGTCCTCCACAGGGGCGTTTGCCACGAGGCGCTCCCGCCAGTTGCCGATCTCTGGGCTGACGCTGAAGGTGAGGCTGACGCTGGGAGGGCTCGGGGGCTCGCTGCCCCCGGAGCCCGGCGGAGTCACCGGCAGCCTGGAGGATTCCAAGCCCCAAGGGCTCAGTTCTCTCAAACCTTCTTGGGGTACCCTAAATAGGACAAGCCGCCTTCTGCAAAAGGGGATGGTTTAGAGAGCTGACCATGTCAGAAACATCCCCTAAACCCTAAACCCTAAACCCTAAACCCTAAACCCTAATCCCCTTAAAAAACGTTCCTCTCTGCCGCTTCGGAGCATGGGCAAGGCCGGCCGAGGCAGTTGCGGCCTCGGCGCCGCCGGCGGCTTCGGCGATGGCAGCTTCGGCTGCTCCTGGTGGGAGGTTTGGAAGCACCTGGCCAGCTTTAGGGTTTAGGGTTTGGGGTTTAGGGTTTTCAAGGGTTTAGGGTTTAGGGTTTAGGGTTTAGGGTTTAGGGTTTAGGGTTTAGGGTTTAGGGTTTAGGGTTTAGGGTTTAGGGTTTAGGGTTTAGGGTTTAGGGTTCCCTACTCCAACACACCACTGGACTGTACAAACGCGATCCGCGATCTGCGTGCATCCGCGCCGAGAATCAGGATCTCTAGTGTTGCTTTCCCAGACCCCCCTTAGCCACTGGCCCGGCTTTGTTGAACTTTCAGCATTCAAAGGTTTCCCTGGCCACTTGTCTCCCTTCACGGCCGGTGGTCAGATGACCGGGCCGCGACGCCAGCTTTAGCAAGAGCAACAGCCATAGTCATAGTCATAGCTGCTACCATTACTTGTGCCAGTAGTGCTATTCTTCTTCTTAAAAGGAAGATACTACGAACCCAGGACGGTCGAGGTGTTCACCCTGACGAGAAGCAACCTCCTGTGAGACCCCTACACCCCAGCAAGAAAACTATGAAGCCTCAAGGCTTCCAATCACTGCAGCCGTCCAATCACCAAGGCCAACTGAGAAATCTGTATATTTCCCGAAACAGGGGTACCCTTGATATACCCCAAACTAGTATAATCCTTATTGTAGGAACCCCCAAACTAGGGGGGTACCCAGCCCCTATTTTCGTAAAACCCCCCCCAAATCTGAAGACATCTGAAGACCCCCAAACGGGCGCACCGGGAGATGGAGGTGAACATGGACCGCTTCAGCAGGGTGGAGATCGAGAGGCGGCCCGGCCGCTGGGAGCCCGCCGAAGGCAGCTGGCTGCCGTTCTGCTCCCGGAACCTCGGGGGAAGGGTTTAGGGTTTAGGGTTTAGGGTTTAGGGTTTAGGGTTTAGGGTTTAGGGTTTAGGGTTTAGGGCTTAGGTTTAGGGTTTAGGGTTTCGGGTTTAGGGTTTAGGGTGGTTTAGGGTTTAGGGTGGTTTAGGGTGGTTTAGGGTGGTTTAGGGTTTTGGGTGGTTTAGGGTTTAGGGTGGTTTAGGGTTTAGGGTTTAGGGTTTAGGGCTTAGAGCTTAGGGCTTAGGGCTTGGGGTTTAGGGTTTAGGGTTTAGGGTTTAGGGTTTAGGGTTTAGGCGGGGGGGGGATTTGGGGATCCCGCCGGCGCGAATGGTCTCGGGCCACAGCACAACACATCTCAAGTGTGGCGTGCTGTGGCGTGGTGTCTGGGACAGGCGTGTCGTCTCTACTGGCTTTGCTGGCTGTAAACCGCAGGTTGCTTCCCCACCGGGGGGAACTTGAAGTGTGCAGTCACCACACTAAAGCAGAAGCCCAAACCCTAAACCCGAAACCCTAAACCCCCCTTCCTAAGGGCCCCAGAAGTCCCCCCATCTTGACCCCCTTGCCTCAAGGTCCTGGAAGAGGGCTCGGCTTCTTGCTCCTTGGCGATGGTGCTGGGCTCTTCTGAACTCTCGGTTGGCTCCTTTGCGAGCTTCCTGGGCGGTGGGGCCTCCACCTGCAACAAAGAGGCCACCACAAAGAGGGGCTTTCAGGCTTCCAAGAGTTGGGGGAGGGGGTACTTTGAGGTACGCTTAAGGAGAGCTCCCTCCCAGAACCCCTTGTTTGCGAGTGCCCATCTTTAAGGTAGACGCGGCCAAAACCCAACCAACCCCCAAAAACCCAAGAATCCGCTGGAAAAGTTCCGATGTTGGCCACCCGGCCTTCTGCTGAATTGGTGCTGCCCTCTCGCTTGGACTGGGGACTTCAAAGAAAGGAGCGGGATACTCCAGCTGCGGTGAGCTGCCCTCGCTGGCGCTCCCCACAGACTCGCTCTCGAACTTGTAGTCCTTCATCATGTCTTCCAGGGTGCTCCTCCGCCTCAATTCCTTCTCATCAGGGACCTCACTTCTAGATTCGCTGCTCCGTGCGTCCTCGTCTGGCCGACGGTCTGGCCGCCGGTCTGGCCGCGGCTCTTGCCGCGGGTCCGGCCGCGGGTCCGGCCGCGGGTCCGGCCGCGGGTCCGGCCGCGGGTCGGGCGGCGGGTCTGGCCGCGGGTCTGGCTGCGGGTCTGGTTTGGACCAGAAGTTTGCGAACAGCTGCTGCTTGTAACGCTGGCTCTGACTGGGCTCATCAGGCTTCTTACCATCATCACTCACCTCACCCTCATCCGCAACACCCGCAGCACTGAACTTGTAGTTCTCCCACACGGTTTGCCACTCGGGATCATGGAGCAGGGCAAGAATGCTGAAGAGGCTGCTGACAACGTTCTTGGACAGCTGCCGCCGGTCCTTCTCCGTGCTCTTTGCCTTCTCCCGGAGTGTCTGGAGCACAGCCTCAGGCTCCACCTCCAAGTCACCGAAGAGGATGCTCCGGATGTAGGAGAAGCTCGTCATGAAGCGTGAGGTGCTCAACTTCCCCATGTCTTGGCACATCGTCTCGGCGATGGCCTGCGCCTGCAACATTTCGGAGCGCTCGGCGGCGCCTCGGGGAGACTCAAGACTTCAGAGGCAGTCCGAAAGACTCAGATATTGATTTGGGGCTTTACGAAACGTAAGGGACCCTGATATATAGACCCCCCAAATAGCAGGATTCCCTTAGAACAAAGCCCCCCTAATTCAGGAAACCCCGATGTATAGTGCGAAGACTGCACATGGGATCGATAGTGCCACCGAGCTGCGCTCCACCATCGCCTCCATCAGTTGCTGCTTCAACTGCTCGGCGGCCGCACCCGCAATTAGCCTCGCAAAACAGCTTAGAAAGGGTTTAGGGTTTAGGGTCTAGGGTTTAGGGTTTAGGGTTTCGGGTTTAGGGTTTAGGGTTTAGGGTTTAGGGTTTAGGGTTTAGGGTTTAGGGTTTAGGGTTTAGGGTTTAGGGTTTAGGGTTTAGGGTTTAGGGTTTAGGGTTTAGGGTTTAGGGTTTAGGGTTTAGGGTCCCGCAACCCTAGGTCTCTGTGGAAGATTCGCGCATCGCAACCCTTCAAAGGACGAGCTTGTCAGCGCAAATGAAGGACAGGATGCATGAAGCACCGACGTTTACCAAGAACAGCAGAGGGAGACAAAAAAACTGTGCAACGCGCGTACAAAGCTCATGCGGCACGGTGCCAAGCCAGAAAGATGTTCTATTCGGCTGGAAGAGGCGTCTAGAACAAGCAAACCAGGATCTCCCCCGAGGGGGCGGTGGACCTGCCAAAACCGCCTGGACGAGCCGAAATCCGATGCCACAGACTCTGACAGAGACCAAGCACAACCAAGGGGCCCCCACGATGCCCTCTCTGAAACCCCCTGAGAACTCCCCCTGCCACCCTCCCCTGGAGCCCCCCCGCCCCCCGCACAGGACAGCAGAGGGGAGGTGTCCTCAACCCTCCCAGGACCGTTGCGCATGCTACACCCCGCGTTGGGCCATGCCGAGGTGTCGCGTGCACGCGTTTACAACTGGGGTTTAGGCTTTGGGGTTTGGGCTTTAAGGTTTAGGGTTTAAGGGGTTTAAGGGGTTTAAGGGGTTTGAGGGGTTAAGGCCCCCTGCTGAATCTAAGAGCGAGCAGCAGCCCAGCGATGCGGCGCCTCTCCTTCATAACCTCCCGCATGGCCTCAGCTCTGCTCTCAAGGCTTCCACGCTTCTGGTACCCAAAGAGCCCAATATCCCTTAATTAAGGAATATGCCTTAAATCATAACAAGGGACCCTTGTTATGATTTAAGGAATATTCCTTAAATTAGGGGGTATTGGGCTCTTTGGGTATAACGTTAACTCACGGTACGTATAAGCGGCTACTTACCAAAACCCATGAGCCCAGGCAGAGCATTCACACGTACATCACACATACATTAGACGGGGCGACGGACCTGTGCATTTTGCTGCATATCGCCGTTTTAGGTTCAGGGCTCAAGGACGAGCTGAGATTGTCTGCAGCATGACGGCACCCATCAGCAAGTAGCTGAGCACCGGGCCACGACCATGGACCAGATCGCCTTTTGCAGCGTGGTGTCGTGATCATAGAGGTCGTCACGCCGATCGGCATAGAAGGCACGGGCCCTCCGGTAGCAGGAGCGGATCAGGCCGATATCTCGGCCCAGCAGATGCCTACTCGAACCAGTCGGAGCATGCTGCAGCTTCGGCCGCGGGGTCTTGGGCGACTTGGACGGAGACCGCGGTGGAACGAGTGACGGGGCCCGTGCTACGAGTGAGGTAGACCGCGCAACGAGCTTCTCATCCCGCCTTCTCATGTGGCATCACCCGATTAAGAAGCACGGGCAAGAGCACACAAGCTGGAGAGCCAAATTCCACGTGAAGATTCATGGCCAAGGCGTCGTGAAGCAGCAGCCGTAGCAAGGGCCCTACTGCACATGTTTGCCGCCTGCCTGAACTAACATGCTAGAGCACGCTGCACTCTCCCTGAACGCCACGCCCCGAATGCCGAAACAGGCAGTTGCTGAACTCGTTCATGTGGGTTGGTTGGGTGCCTTCTTGAGCTCGGCCGTATCCACAGACTCCTGGCCAAGGAGCTCACCCCACGAAGTGAAAGAGACCCAAACCTCAAGCTGGGAAGCCACCAACGACCCTGAAAACAGCACCCAAGAGAGCCAAGACCAAAAAATGCGGTCGCAGCAGAGAGGGCCTTTGATTTTGTTCGGCTTTTGGGATGTTTTGGGGAGACCCCTGTTAGAGTGAACCTGGATCGCGCCTTGCTGCGGCTCTGCGACACCGTCATCTTTGCCAAGTCCTGGCTTGACTCTCACATTTTGGGGGCGGAGCATCAGGACGCCAGGCCTGTACTTGGAGGTTCATTTGGGTAGTCATAGGTAGGGTTATGATTTGGGCAACTATACTTAGAGCCTTACTAAGGGTACTATAAGAAACCCTACTTTACAACTACCCAAATGAACCTCCAAGCAGATATGGGGTTTGATGACAAGGGGATAGAACTCTGGGACCCCTAAACCCTAAACCCTAAACGCTAAACCCTAAACCCCAAAACCCTAAGATGGGTTCTGCGGAAAATCTGGGGCGGGCAAGGCAATCCCGCGACTTCTCCTGGGCCCGCACTCCCAGGGCCCTCAAACTTAGCTCTACAACTTAGCTTTTAAAACACAAAACCAAAGCTCAAAAAGGGGTTTAGGGTTTAAGGGTCTAGGGTCTAGGGTCTAGGGTCTAGGGTCTAGGGTCTAGGGTTTAGGGTTTAGGGTTTAGGGTTTAGGGTTCAGGCTCCCACTTCCAGAGGGCTCCCTGATGCTCAGACCTGCTCCCGAAGGGTTGGCGGCACGATGAGAGGGCCTCATCGTTGGGTTTAGGGTTTCGGGTTTAGGGTTTGGGGTTTAGGGTTTAGGGTTTAGGGTTTAGGGTTTAGGGTTTAGGGTTTAGGGTTTAGGGTTTAGGGTTTAGGGTTTAGGGTTTAGGGTTTAGGGTTCAGGGTTTAGGGTTTAGGGCTTGGGGTTTACGGTTTAGGGTGGCCTCATCGAAAGAATCCGGATGTGGGGCTTGGAGGGGTAGAACTCTGCTGGATTCTACAGACCTCTGGCTTCTACAAGCCCTTAATGGAAGCCTTCGACTAGGCCTCTTAAAAAGGCTGCAAAGAAAAACCTTTCTTGAAAAAAGATGAAAGTGATATAAAAAAAAAACACAGCTCACTGCGGGATTCTCTGCGGCTCTCCCAAAGAAGCTGGGATATTAGGGGTACCTTTTTGGGGTCCTTGTATTAGAAGGGGATCTCTGCAAGACAGCAACTACTATTTGCTTAAGAACCCCAAAAGAGTGAAAAGCAATCGTCCCTATCTCACACTGAACAAGGAAGAATACTTTTCTTTTGGGGTTCTTGAGCAGTTGGTAGACAAAGGTCTGCATTTAAAGGAATCCTTGTCTTCGTAAACCCCAAGGATGCTGGGATATTAGGGGTACCTTTTTGGGGTCCGTATATTAGAAGGGGGCTCTACAAGTTGTCTGTATTTAAAGGAATCCTGGTCCTCATAAACCCCAAACCCCAAACCCCAAACCCTAAACCCTAAACCCCAAACCCTAAACCCTAAACCCTCAACAACGAAGCTGCCTGCGAAGCGCCAGTGGGGCGACTCGGCCGGCCAGATCTCGAGCCTCCCCGGCTACTAAAGGGTTCAGGGTTTAGGGTTTCGGGTTTAGGGTTTAGGGTTTAGGGTTTAGGGTTTAGGGTTTCGGGTTTAGGGTTTAGGGTTTAGGGCTACTTGGAGGTTCATTTGGGTAGCTATAAGTAGGGCTATAAGTGGGGGAACTGTACTTAAAACCTTACTCAGGGTACTTAGAACCCTACTTATAACTACCCGTGAACCTTCAAGCACGCACACAAAGAAGAGTTTTCGTTTGTTTCCCGACAGAAAAAGAAACACAATAAATTGGGTTGTACACAAGGAGTAGTGAGGGGATTAAGGCGAATAGAAACTGAATGTTATACCGCACCCCGCGCCCTGGCCCTCCCGGCTATTTTGTTTGATCACACCTGCGTGATTGCGATTACCACCTGTATGGGGATTGCTCGCATGACAATTCTTTTTTTGGGGGTGGGGCGTTTAGAGCTTTTGGGGCCTTTGAAGGTGTGAAGACCAACCAACCGGAGGGTGCGCAACTCGACGGAGAGCAACGGGGCCTGCTAGGAGCCCAGTTAAGAGAACCAATGTCGGTTTGTTTCTCCAGTTTGGGACTATCACACGATGCCAAGGAGGCGAAAACGAAAAAGAACGTGTGTGTTGGGTGCGTTGGATGTACTCTCCGTGCCCAGCTCAAAATCACATCTCCTCGACTGTTCTTGGAGCCCGTTTGTTGATCCCTTCCATGTTAAGTGTGACCAAAATTCTAAAGCAACCTCTAACAAGGCCTTACTCTCACTTTGGGGCAGCAAGCAGAAGCAGTCTACCGAGGCCCTCGCGCAGTCGCGGAAAGGGCGTGAAGCCTCTGCACCCAGGAGCCCTGCACACAGCGGGCTGAAAATTCAGGAGTAATAATAATAAGAAGAAGAAGAATAAGAACAAGACCTAACAGTGATAATAATAATAATAATGATAATAATAATAATAATAAGAAGAAGAATAATAATAATAATAACAATAATGATAATAATGATGATAATAATAATCATACCAATAATCAGCTGCCAGAATCCGTTCAAAATTGGAAGTGGCCATCTCAAGCGATGGAGAAGGGGGCCCCTCATCATTGAAGCTTCCAAAGAGGACCCCGGGATGCTTCGCACTAAGCTCGGAGGCATCTGCTTCTGCTTGGGGTACGGAACGGTTCGAGCGTTGGAGGGGCAGACTCTTTGCTGCTCTTTTTGGTTTCGGAGACCGGACTTCGCCTCCGGCTCCCCCATGAGCGCTGCCTCAGTCGTCAGAGAGCAGCTGGGCCTCCCTTCGAGACACGCTTGTGGCCGAGCTCGGCACGACATCTTGTCGCGCGCTTCGGGCATATGCCAGAAAGGGAGCGGTCCTCAAGCAGCTCACGGCATGTGCGAGCAGGCATGTCAGGACAGCTGTGAGGGATATGGTCATCCCATGGTTCTGTAGACATGATCCGGTGGTGTACAGTGGGGACAGAATGGAATCGGGAAAGAGCACAACATGTACAGTAGTCACAATCACAGCAAAAGACAGCAAATCTCACCGCAAGACGAATCATGTGGAATGATTGTCATAGGATGGCAAACGACCAGCGCCCTGGAAATATTTTCGCAAAGGCCCCCCCGGCCTGGTAGGCTGAACCGCTGAGGTCGCAGGTGAAAAACCTCAGGCCGGGTGCAACCGCTGCACACGCATGGTTGCAGCAGGCTACGGCCTCCGTTTGCCAAAGCGTCAACAGAAACTCCTCTGCAAGGATGGGCGGGCCTGGGGGTTTTCAGGAAGCCTGGTCATCTTATAGGCATGTCGAAAAAAATGTTCAAAGGGCAGCTCAAGAAATGTTTAGGGTTTAGGGTTTAGGGTTTAGGGTTTAGGGTTGAGGGTTGAGGGTTTAGGGTTTAGGGTTTAGGGCCAGGAGGGTTTAGGGATCTACACCCAGGGTGTCGATTCCTGAGCTGATGGCTGGCCCGCAGCGCTCTTCGACCAAACTGCGGCCTCTTCCTGAGCCTCGGGGAATCTTTCGGGCTGTGTGGAAGAATGGGGTCAAATCACTTAGGGGTTTGGGGTTTGGGGTTTAGGGTTTAGGGTTTAGGGTTTAGGGTTTAGGGATAGGGTTTGGGGTTTAGGGTTTAGGGTTTCCAATAGTTTGCACACACCCAATACACCACCCAAAGTTATTGCACTAATGGATCCCAACAAGCTGGCACATCTTCACTCACGGCACGTGGCAGAGAGGTCATCGGAGAAGAAGAGAAAGCGTAGGTAGGAGGAATACACACGCAAGATCACGAAGCATAAAGTTCTGACATCCTGAGATTCCCGCATCACGTCTTTGGTGACCGCCAGGTGAAGTCCATGTTCCAAGGCAAGAAAAGTCGGCCGATCAGGGGTTAGGGTTTAGGGTTTAGAGTTGGCTTGCAGATAAGTGCTTGGCATAGCTTGGCTTAGGCCTCGGAAGCTTCCCCGAGCAAATTTGCAAAGTTCCAGCTTGGCTCAAGTGGCACTCCGGCGCAACTACATGCAACGATGCACCACGGTGGACTGCAACAACTCAAACTCAAGAGCAGCTTACCATAGCCGACATAGCCGCTGCAGCACCACAGCACCTGCACTGCCTTTTTCTTTTCTTGCGATGCTTTCAGCAGGACCAGAACCTCCGCCCGGACCACTGGCAGGTTCGACAAGAGGAGCTTCCACTGGTGGCCAGTGAGTGAAGAGCTCAGGGCCGCATGCGTGATGATGTCGGGGCGCTGCTGAGCATCCCTCGCATCCGTGAACAGCTGCAAAACATGCGGCCACCGCGTAGCCCGCATCTCTGAGCCCATGGCAGCATTGTAGCTGGAGATTCCTGGGGCGGGGAGCTGCTGCAGTATGCGCAACCCTCGGGCCCAGCGACTGCTCTGCTCGCAGCACGTGATCGAGCCATCATACCTTGACAGATCCATGCGGAACTTGTTTTGAGGAGTTAGACATAGACCATGATGCATAAGTCGCTGCAGCCAAGTCGCGTCGTGACGTCCGCTCTGACACGTGCAGAGCACACGAATTCCAGAAGTTGCAAAGACAGCGGCCACCACTTCAGCTTTTCACATGCAGAATTGCACGTGTTGACGGAAATCACATCCAACTCCACCTGCAGCCCTTGCATGTGGAACAGGAGCCCTGGGACGAGGTGCTGCTGTCCAGCTTCGGAACATGCCACCATGGCACCATTATACAGTGCAGTCAAGGGCCCCAAGGCATGCCCCAAGGATCGATGCACATCGCACGCATAGGCCAAGCAACGTTGCCACCGCAAATGGCTTCGGCAAGCTGCAGCCGCGATGCCATGAGCCAGGACATCGGGAAGAACTCCCAGCTGACACATTCTGGAGACATGGGACAATGCCAGGGACCAGCCGGAAACTGAAGACGCGTAGAACCCCATCAGCGTCGTATGCACTTTCAAAGACTGCAATCCGGCAAAGTCCCACAAGTCCCGCTCATGAATCCGCAGTGCCGTCGCCCAAAGCGATGGGGTGGACCAGCTTCGCACAGCGAGCACTACCTCCGTTTCCCTCTCCGCATCAGAAGTTGCACGAGGTTCTTGCACAGCTCGCATACGGCCCATTTGCAATCCGAGCTGCCAAGCATCACTCTGCACAAGCCCCTGCTGCATGGATCGGGACAAGACAGCATCCGGTGTGGCATGACGCGACCTGCAGCAGGATTTCATGAAGTTGCCAAAGGCCCAGGCACGTGCAAGTATTTAGAGCCAAATTTATGGAGTTATTGGTGCAAAGTTTGCTGCCATAAATGCGGGAACCGACACATCAAACGAATCTAAGCTTCTCAAGGATGAGCGGCGCAAGCAACGCGGTGCCCAGCTGCCAGTGAGAGCTACCCGCCAACGCGACGTTGCAGCTGCCCAGGAAGACGTTGAGCTTGCTTGCATCGCGGGACAACTTCTTGGCTGTCCCTGTGATTCCTGACTGCTGACAGGTTGTAACCAACAGCAGAGGCAATACCCATGCTGAGAGGCAGTTCTTCCCAGCAAGTGCCTTGGCCACACAGCCCAGCGTCACCAGCGTCGGCTCAGGGCCCGCCTGCAAAACGCGACATAGCAGGCTGAGGCATGCTTCCCATGCCGTAGCGTCCGCACATGCGTTCAGAACTGCGTTGCACTCGATGGCTCCGATGCATCCGTACCGTCCGTAGCGCCCAACTTCCATATACTCCAAGGACACGATGGCGCTGCGCCACTGGCCGGCTGCAGCACAGGATCCTGCAATGGATGCCAACCCGAAGCCATCTACAAATGGCAGCAGGTAAAGAGACTTGGCCCATTCTCCACTCGGTTTCCACGCAGCAAGCATGGTATTGAAAGACACGCTGTCTGGCTCAGTTACTCTGCCGCGCATGTCCGACATCAGCAACGCTGCTAATTTCCAGCCAGAGCTGATGGCATACCCATTTTGAACAGCATTGTAGCTGAAAACGTTTAGAGAGCAACCCTCTGCCTGCGAAGCTGCAAGACAAGAAACAGACTGCATCCACGAAGTAGCCTGCGTAGACGCTGCCAAAACGGTACTCAGGCCAACAACATCTCCTTGTGCATTAGCCGCCCGCGTCCTGCCCAAACGCAAATATCAAAACAGCACCGCAACACGAGTCTTGCACCGAAACAACATTGAGGTGCATCATGCAACTTTCATCGTTTCAGCTACTAACATCCCTCGAAGCCTGCAGCATTATCACGCAATGCCCCGCTTTCATGTACAAGACCAGCCTGGTGAAAAAGAGCTGGGCTTTTTGCCAAAGCTTGCTTCTCTCCAAAGTTCGGAGTGCAGAGTTGAGAAAGACTGTGTCTGGCACCAGGCCATATAAGAACAACACATCGTGGCCGAAGCTGTCCAAGCTGTACTGCTGGAGAAGGCCCACCGCTCGACGCCAGCTTGCTGCAGTGCATGTTGTGACAGATAAAGTCAATGTCAACACGTCCGGTTGCAGTGTCAGCTTGCCCATGCAAGTTGCAAGCAACACTAAAATCTGCTTCCACCGGGCCGCTTTTGCGCAACTTGTGATGGCCGAATTGACGGAGATGGTGTCCACCACTTGTCTTGACCCAAGCATCCAGCTCAACGAAGTCAACGAATTGGCCCAATGCCATGATTGGAACGCCTTCCATCAATCAGTACCGGATTGAATTTGCGGCAATCAAGAGACGTGATAAACATGACAAGAAAAATGTGAGCAACCTCTAACCTCTATCACGGTTTTTGAACATCGTCGTGTTTTGCAAGCCCGCGCGTTGGAACGACGGCTGGTCGCACATGCTGATGCTAGTGTCATTGCGGCATCTCGTCAGCTTCTGCATGGAATCTGGTCCACTGTGCGCGCACGAGGCCATGGCTGTGCAACAATCTGGTCCGGAACAGCACAACAACAGCTGTGGGCGCAGAATACAGAATACATGTACAGGTTTATCAGCCGATAATCCAACGCATAATCGGTCCTAGGTTGCTTTGCAGGATGTTGTCTGTTGGATGATGACATGTTCTGGTCCTATTTCGACATCTCCGTGCACCACACAGCAAGCTGCACGCACACACATATGCATTCTGCAACACCATGCCTGGTGAATTCCGACCCTGCTCGGGAAAAGGGAATGAAGCAAGGCAATGACCCGTTTGACCATAAGGGAGAACCGACCAAACCGCCCAGCAGATTTGGCTTCTATGCTCAAAAACTTGTCGGTGCGTAATGCCATATTATATGATATTGTGTGATACTATGTGATACTATGTGCTATTCTAGTGTTATAAAATATGTTGTAGCATTTTACTTTCTATCGTAGTTTACTTTACATTTATTTGTGCTGTATTATATTTTTTTATAATATATCATCTTATATTCTATGATATTTCTTTATGTTATGTTATGTTATGTTATGTTGTGTTATGTTATGTTATGTTATGTTATGTTCTTATATTATATTATCTTATGTTATATTATGTTATATGATGTCTCTTATTATATTGTATTATAAGAAACATTTTCTTCAGATATTCTATGTTACTTCATTTTTGGATTATCATATTTTTCTGTTTTGCTTTATGTTGTTATGTTAGATGATAGTAAATAGAAAAGTATTATAATATAATTCATTATAGTGTACTTTATCATATTATATTCTTTTGTATTTTTAAAATATTTTTCTATTAGATTTTATTAGATACACAATACATGATAAAATATTTTTTATATTGTATTTTATATATTATATTCTATTATCTTGTATTGCATTGTACAAAATATATTGTACTATATTGTATCAAAATTAAATAAACATAAAACTGCGTTATATGAGATTTTATTATATATTATGTTACATTATCTTCTATTATCTTTATCTTTATCTTTATCTTTATCTTATCTTATCTTATCTTATATTAAATTGTACTACATCATATTACATGAAATTGTGTTATGTGATTTGTATTGTCTTGTCTCGTCTCGTCTTGTCTTGTCTTGTCTTGTCTTGTATTGTATTGCATTTTATGAGTTATTACTTTCTTATTCACACGCATACACACATATGGTGTCGTAGTAGTCGTGGTAGCTCCCCACCCATGGCTCCATCCCTGCCCCCTCCCCACCCTCTCAGCTGATTTTGAATAAGGGCCCCAGCGCATGCCCTTGCTCCGCTCCCCCTGTCCACCCATGGCTTCACCCCTGGCCCCTCCCCATCCTCCCCGCGCTGCCCACCCCACCCATCCATCCACCTCACTCATTATTGGTTCATGGGGCCCCTCATGGCTCCATCCCTGGCTCCCGCTAGCCGTGGCCCCATGAGATCATTGATGGGGCCACCCCACCCATGGCTCCATCCCTGGCCCCTCCCCACCCTATCAGCTGACTGGAGGGCCCCAGTCCATGCCCGCTTGCTCCGCTCTCTCCGCCCTCGCCGCCCTCTCTGCCCACTCCGACTGTACACCCATATGGCTTCATCCCTTGGCCCCTCCCCACCCATGGCTCCATCCCTGGCCCCTCCCCACCCTATCAGCTGACTTTGACACATGTAAGCTTGCTCCCCTCTCTCCGCCCTCCCCGCCCTCCCCGCCCGCTCCGCCTGTCCACCCACGACTTCATCAGCTGACTTTGAATAAGGGCCCCAGTGCTGCCCGCTTGCTCCGCTCTCTCCGCCCTCCTCACCCGCTCCGCCTGTCCACCCATGGCTTCTTCATCATTGGCCCCTCCCTATCCTCCCCGCGCTCTGCCCACCCCACCCAGGTCATTATTGGTTGATGGGGCTCCTCAGGGCCAGGGCCCATATCCCCTGCCGCCTACTGCCCGCTCTGCCACCTATTGCCCGCTCTGCCCCCCCCACCCATGGCTCCGGCCCCTCCCCACCCTATCAGCTGACTTAAGGGCCCCAGTCCATGCCCGCTTGCTCCGCTCTCTCCGCCCTCCCCGCCCTCCCCACCCGCTCCGCCTGTCCACCCATGGCTTAGGCAAAAAATCTTAGGGTTTGAGTCCCAAACGAAGAGCTGCCCCCGCGCTCGTGCTGAATCCAAGGTTACCTGAACGATTTCTTCTCCATCGACTTACAGGCAGGAGAGAGGGTGGACGGCTCCATTTGTCCGCAGCAGTTCTATGCCTGCAGGGCAGAGTTTGCGTGAGCTCAGTCGGGTGTGAGTCCACTGGCAGAAACCGTCCCCATGTGTCCGCTCTGCGGGGTTGGAGGTGGGTCTGGGTTGCTTCCTGCTTGAGGGTGCAGGAGGCGCGCGAGACGACGACGACTACTACGACTACTACTACGACGACTACCACGACGACTACCACTACCACTACCACTACCACTACCACTGCCACTGCCACTACCACTACCACTACCACTACCACTACCACTACCACTACCACTACCACTACCACTACCACTACCACTACCACTACCACTACCACTACCACTGCCACTGCCACTGCCACTGCCACTGCCACTGCCACTGCCACTGCCACTGCCACTGCCACTGCCACTGCCACTGCCACTGCCACTGCCACTGCCACTACCACTACCACTACCACTACACTACACTACCACTCCCACGACACTACCACTACCACTACCACTACCACTACCACTACCACTACCCAACTATCCACTCCTACTACTACTACTACTACGTACTACTACTACTACTACTACTACTACTACTACTACTACTACTACTACTACTACTACTACTACTACTACTACTACTACTACTACTACTACTACTACTACTACTACTACTACTACTTACTACTACTACTACTAACTACTACTACTACTACTACTAACTACTACTACTACTACTACTACTACTACTACTACTACTACTACTACTACTACTACTACTACTACTACTACTACTACTACTACTACTACTACTACTACTACTACTACTACTACTACTACTACTTACACTAATCTAATACTACTACTTACTTCTACTACTACTACTACTCTTAAAACTACTACTACTAACAATACTTACTACTAATACTCCTATACTTACTATAATACTGGCTTACTGCTGCTTGCTCGCTGCTGTACTAATGAGGCTGCTGCTGCACTACTAATAACCACTGATATGCTACTACGATCTACTGTTGCCTACTACTACTACTACTACTACTACAACACTACTACTACTACTACTACTACTACTACTACTACTACTACTACTACTACTACTACTACTACTACTACTACTACTACTACTACTACTACGACTTCTACTATTACGACTACTGCAACTACGAGGCGTCACGTTCTCAATTGATCGCAGGGGTTTTGTGGCGTGCTTAAGAGACGAAAACCTCGTGTTTCCTGGCTTGTCCGTTTGTTTCGGGCCCGCAAAAACGGTCAATCCCGTGTATAGAAAAGTTTACGCTTTTTTGTGCCCAGTGCTGTTGCGGCGATGGGTGCATGGCGAAGAACCTAAGTTTAGTTAAGGCAAACTGGCAAAGTGGTGCTAAGAACACCTCAGAACACTCGGAGGTTAATTGTGGCAGGCTCGCTTGGTCTATGCTTGCTTGTCTGGTTGCGGCCCTCTGTGCTGTCAGGTGCCTGCTAACCACTTTACAGGGAGGAAGAATAGTGCTGTTCTGCAGTGTGAGCTCTGGGGCTTTCTTGGATGGTTTCAACTCACATTGTAAGCCTTTTGCCATGCGTGTACTGTGGAGACTACTGGAGCTTCTCTGCCTTTTCGATCAATTTTGCTGCCCCTCATCTTGGGTTTTTAAAGAACTTTTTTTGACAAATCTTCAATTGGGTTCTCTTGTCTGATTTTCCAAAACCAAACAGAAATTTAAGGCACACTGAAATTTGACAAAACTCTGCTTCTCAGGCTGGGTGTTTTTAATTCTTGTCTGCAATTCTCCCCGGATTCAGCACCATTCAACGAATTTTTTCAAATTTCTAAAGTTTCCGAAAATGTTAAAAAAAAAAAAAACCCTCAAAATCAACACTTGATCAATTAAATTTGTTGAATTTACTCTGGTGTTTCGCTCGCTTCGCTTGCACTTATTCACATTCTGGCAATACACTTTGCAATTTTCAAGTGGTTTGGCTTGGGCGTCCGCGACCTTCACAAATCAACACCACGGCCAAACTCGTCTCGTCCTGCAGTTGATTTCGTTCCACCTGTTGCTCCTCCTGGTCCCTTGGACCACAGTAAGCATTGTGGTTGCAAAGTGGGTTGGTTTGCGGGTGCATGTGGGAGTGGTAAGGCATGGAGTCTCAGAAGTGACACCAAATAAAAAAAACAGACTTTGCAGTGTTGTCTGTGTGTGTTTACCTTGTTTTTCATTGTGAATGGTGTGGTGTGTTGTGGTTTTGGCGTACGTGGGTCAGAGTTGTGTGTCATGGAGTGTGGGTGAAAAATCATTGTGTAAGTGCAAAGTGGCTCAGTGGGGGTGTGTTTGCGTGTATGTCGGCTGGATTCTGCTGGCTGTTCAAGTGTGGAGTGTGCGGGTGGTGAAATAAAGGTGTGTGGATTTTGGAAACACAAAAAGAGGGCAAGAAATCAATTGCAAAAGGTAGAGAAGCCGAAGTGACCTCCACAGTGCAAGAAAGATCGCATGCGAACAATGCAAGACTGCTTTGTCTTGCGTGCCTAAAGACAAGTTTAGCAAGCCAAGAACACGCGTATACGGCGTTTTTGTTTTTCTTAAGTGTTGATGCAAACAGTATCGAATCGAAAAAATCTTGTTGTTTGTGAGTTGATTTCAATTATTGAATTCAAATGGGTTTCAAAAGCAGCTTAATTCTGGGCACCAAAAACGGACCCTAGATTTTGGATTTCCTGTGTGAACATACAAGGCCACCCAGGCTGGAGCCTCAAATTGGAACCCAAGTTTAGGAGCCATTTTTGGGCCCAGTTGCGGTGTTTTTTTCACACACGGAAAGCCTCCTCGTTGCGAGTAAAACAAATCAGCCTCTCAGTCGGTTCCAGTTTAAGTCTTGTGTCAGTCTTCCCCGAAAATTAGAACAGCAGGCAGCAAGGCAGCAAAGTGTGAACTTGTTTGGAACCGGAACTTTCTCTAACAGTGCAAGAAAGATCGCACGCGAACAATGCAAGACTGCTTTGTCTTGCGTGCCTAAAGACAAGTTTAGCAAGCCAAGAACACGCGTGTACGGCGTTTTTGTTTTTCTTAAGTGTTGATGCAAACAGTATCGAATCGAAAAAATCTTGTTGTTTGTGAGTTGATTTCAATTATTATTAAATTCAAATGGGTTCCAAAAGCAGCTCAATTCTGGGCACCGAAAACTGGCCCTAGATTTTGGAGGCTGGCTCAAATTGGAACCCAAGTTTAGGAGCCATTTTTGGGCCCAGTTGCGGCGTTTTTTTCACACACGGGAAGCCTCGTTGCGAGTAAAACAAATCAGCCTCTCAGTCGGTTCCAGTTTAAGTCTTGTGTCAGTCTTCCCCTAAAATTAGAACAGCAGGCAGCAAGGCAGCAAAGTGTGAACTTGTTTGGAACCGGAACTTTCTCTAACAGTATACACCTCTCTCCCTTCGCCTGGTTGGTCGCAGCGGGGCAGGCCCTTGTAACGCCATAGACGTGCCTTGTGCTGTGGCCTTCTGGGGTTGGGTGGCGGGGCGGTGGTTGCCATTTGGGTGGTAAAAGGTTCCACATGCATTTTGCCTTGGTAAGGTGGCCCAGTGCTGTTGCGGCATGGGTGCATGGCGAGGTTAGTAAGAGCGAGAAAGCCGAGCCACCTTGGCAGGTGTTTGTGGGTTAGAACAAGTGAGGAGCTCTGGGGCCTCCCAAGCTCCAGGCCAGTACCTGGGTTCTCCAAACAGGGTAGAGCAACTTCCACCAGAGGTGGACAGTTCCTTATTTCGGAAAGCAAAACAAATTTTGGTTTTGTTGACCAATTTCTCAAGAGCTTTCTTTTTCCCAAACGTGATGTGTTTCCTCCCCCCCAAGTTTTCATGTGGGCTTTCATCCTTGTGCACCGAGTATATGCTCGTTCAGTACTCTGTTGCTTAAGAAAGAGTTGAAAAAATTTTTGTGTGAACCGGGCTTCGTGCACCCAAACCGGTTCGCTGCTGTCCAACAGGCTCCATCCTTGCATTAACCTTGCCCTTAGGGCCCGTGCACGTTCCGGGCGCTGCCCGGGACAGATGGATGTCTGGTCTGAGCCGCCCTCGGCTGCTGTTCAGGCCTACAACCAACTTGAGGCTCGGGTCCACACTCTCGAGTGCTTGCGCTTTCAGGTTGCAGCCGAGCATAGTGACTTGATTGGCCTGCGAGCTCAGATTGACGAATCCGTGTCCTGACTAGCGGCCTTCAGGAACGCATTGTGTTTTTGGAAAGGGACGTGGCCCAGCTCGACACTCGCTTGGCTGAAGTGCGGGCCAGTGTTGTTGCTACCGTTTGGGGCGTTGGCCAAGTTCTTGTCCCCTGCTGCAACGCGTTGGGCATCGTGCCGACTAGCCATGTCTCAATCTCGTGCGCCCACCAGAGGTGGACACCTCGGCCTCCTCTGCTGGGGGGCGGGTGCGAGGCCTTAATGATGCAGGATCTCATGTCTTCAATCTTGACTCTCTGCTTGTAAGTGCAGCATTCCAAACGAGTGAGTGCAAGCGTCTCAAACTTCCATGGGAGAAAGGTAACCTGGCCAGAGTCTTCAGTAGAGACACGGACATTTTCCCGAGACCCCCGATGATCGAACGGGTCCCTAATAGGAACGTGCCCCTCAGTGCCGAGCTTGTGAAGTGATGGGGCAACCCCTTTTTTGGCCCACTGCAAGACGATCTTCGGTGAGGTTGCGTCTGCTTGTTTGAGGGCCCAAACAAAGCTGACCAATGCAGAAGAGTTTGAGCTTGTGTACCAGCGGTTCGAACTTGTGCTCTCTCACAACAACCAAGCCTCATCTCTTGGGCGACAGATCGCAATGCTTGAGAGGGATGCCAGGGTCCACAAGGTGGGATTAGCGTTGGGGGGTAAAGCGTTGCTCACTCCCCTTACGAATTCGACACGGTGGATTTTGCACAAGGGGGGGTCCTGGAGATTGAAATATGACTGGAAATCCTAAACGTCCTGGGTGCAGACCATCCGACCCACCCCACCGTACGAATTGGAAACGCCTCGATCCAGACCCTTTGCAGGCGATGGACCAGGCGGGCTGCTTCCCGACTCCATCGACTTCGGTGCGTTCGGGGCCCAGACTGTGGAGTCCGTGCACCTCCAGTGAGAGTGCCTTTCCGGACAGCAAGCACAGCCAGCCAGAGAGAGTGCCCTTTAAACTTTGCCTTTGCAACCAGGCTCAGTGGCAGGTGTGGACCCAGGAACACGTTCAGTGGATTCTGATTGATGAAAGGGTTCTCTACGAGGTACTGGCCCCACTCATGAACAGTTGGAAACTCACACTGTGTAGTAGCCCCTCATATAGCCCAGATTATACATGTCGACTGTGAATGGCCAAGTCTGTGCTACCGAATTCTTTGCATATGGTACAGGCCCTGCTTGTCCCGTCTGAAGAGCTCTGGGGGGTCGCCTGCCGCCATGGCTTCCCACGGCAGTTCATGTTCAGTGTCAGGCAGCCCAACTGATCCTGAATCATCTGTCAGCAACAGCAGCGACACTTCAGAGAGTGAGTCCTCTGATATCAGCTCCGTTACCGACTCGGATGTTGCTGGTTCAGCTGCGTCTGAGCCTGAGCCAGAGTCAGAGTCGTCGAGAACCACTTCCAGCAGCACTGTGAGTAGTGAGGGTGAGCCCCTCATATGGGAACTCTGTTGTGGTCCAAACAGTGATCTCGTCAAGGCTTGCAGAACCGCTGGCCTGAGCGCACGGAGGGTGACATTGGAGACTGGCTTTGACATGTCAAAAAAGTCCAGTGTGAAGAGACTCCTCCAGGACGTCGAGAGTGCGTGTCCACGCCTGGTATGGTGCAGCCCGCCATGCACAGTGTGGTCCAAGATTCAGAACTTGAACCAGCGCACGCACCAGCAGAGGGTGAGACTGGATAAAAGAAGAAGACAGAGCAGGAAGCTGGTGAAGAACTGTGTGAGTGTGATGCTGGCGGCTGTCCGCGGAGGAGCAGAGATTTGCTTCGAGTGGCCCTCGTCTGCCAGAGGGTGGAACATCCCTGAACTCGTTCACTTGCGTGAGAAGCTGGCTCGCCATGGCAAGCCGACTGTCAGCGTGATTTTCCACGGCTGCCGCTTCGGCATGACAGGTGTGAAAGGCCTCTACCTGAAGAAAGCGTGGAAGGTCTTCACCACCTTGCAGGCTTTGGAGAGCGTGAACCGTCTTTGCCCTGGAGGTCACCTTCACGAAGTGATTGACGGTCGAAACACTGCCATGACTGCTTTCTATCCCCCGCGCATGCGTCGAGCCATAGCGGGTGTCTTTGCCCGAGAGCTGTGAGGAAGTGATGCTGCTAAGCTGGTGACCCTGCACACTGCACTCGTCAGAGCAGCGCAGTGAGATGTCAGAGTCGCTCATCCTGATAGCAGGAAAAGAGACGTGTCAGAGTCAGTCAGGGAGATCCCGGGTTGAAGCTTGCAGGATTTTCGAGGGGTTCGAAGGAGGTTCAAGGGGTTTGTCCAGGGCTCCACGGGGGGTTAAGGCAGTTCAAGGGCTTCTTGGGCGGGTCAAGGGTGTTCAGGGAAGGACCTTTCGGGAGTTCGGCTTTACCCGAGCCCTGTGCCCTGTAATTCTCAGCTTGAAGAGTGCGAGTCAGCTTTCCTCATTCCCAGGTCGTGTGGTGTCTTCCACCTCGTCATCAGGGCCCAGAGCTTGACTGCAGCGAAGTCGTTGCTTAGCAGTGTGATGCCGAAAGCCATCGCCCGTCAGATCAGATGTGAGTGAGGTCCCCAACCGCCTCGTCATGAGGGCCTGGAGCTTGCCCAGCAGGGTGACGTTTCAGATGTCTGAAAGCCTCCGCCTCCACCTGCCATGTCGGTTTCGGCGAGTGACGCTTCAGATTCAGGAGCCTTGGAGAGTCACGAGTCACAGGACAGCAGCGACAGCGACGAGAGGGACACATCCAGAGCGACCAGAGAGAGTCAGAGTGACAGTGGGTCTGGCGATGTCTCCAACGGGGCCTCAGAAACAGATAGCTCCGAGGGGGCCTCTGCAGAGGAGCAAGAGAAGAGTGTGAAACAGAGCCCCAGGAGTTCAGGCGAGTCAGGTGCCGAGGGGCAGCGTGGAGGAGCTTCGTCGTCCAGCTCGTCTTCATCCAGTTCGTCATCCTCAGAGTCGTCAGATCCTTCGCCGGAGTGTGAAGCAGATGCCGCCGAGCCCGTTTATGAGACGGAGACGGAGCACAAGATTCGTCACGATTTCCCGGCCAGGACGGCGTCTTGTGGGCGTTGCTTTTACTACAAAAATCGAGAGTCATGGAAGCAGCAAGCCTTTTACAGGCATCCCCTGACGGAGCTGCCGGTCACCTGGCTCGCAGAGAAGAGTGAGCCAGAGAAGAACGCGTGGCACGTCGGCTGTGCGGTTTGCAAGAAGCACGGCTTTCAGAGTGTCATGGCCAACTTCATGGCTGAGCCGAAGCTGGGCAACATCAAGCGTCATCAGAAGAGCGGACAGCACCAGCGTGCCGTGGCTCTGGAAGTCAGGGCTCTCCAAAGGCAACTTCCTCAAGAGGGTGAGCAAGAAGGAGAGTGTGCGCGTGAAAACCCTTTCTCGGTGAGAAGTGTGCATGTTTTATTCCAGCAGCTGCTCATCAAGACGGGTGAATCCTTTCAGAACTTTCCCAAGTTCTTGAAGACGGCCCGCATGAGTGGGGCCGAAGTGCCTCAGGGATCGACAGGTCCACGAGTGTCGAGTCAGCTGACCCAGGTCATGGCTGAGCGTGAAACCGACATGACGACCAAGATCCTCACAGGCAGTGTCATTGCCGGCTTGGCCCAGGATGCCAGAGACGGCAAAGCCCCGGTGTTGCTCAAGTGTGTTCTCTGGTCGTGGCCACGGGGGCTGCCACGTACTCTAGTGTCAGGGGTGACAAGTGTGAGTGCAGGCAAAGGACCTCCCTGGATGCAGAGGGTGATGTTCACGCCAGAAGCCGGGTTACACAAGGCGGACGGTCTGGTTCAGGCAGTGTCACACTGCCACCTGCCTGAAAGAAGAGCGCCTCTGATTCTGTTCCTTTAGTTTAGATGCTGAGAGTGAGTGTGGAATGCCTTGAACTCACTGTCCTGCAGGTTCGAAGAGTGACGAGGACCTCGCAGCGAACTTGGAGAAGATCTTGTTTGTCGCTACGGACGCAGCGTCAGACCAATTGAAGGCGGCGGATCTGGCCACAGCTCGGTTGAAGAAGTGTGTGTTTCGTTGCGAGGACAGCTGTCACAATGCCCTGACAGTTCTGAAGCACGCTCTAAAGAACCATGAGGAGTTGCTGGAAACAGACAAGCTGCTAGTGTCAGGCAAAAAGCCGTACAGCCTCAGCAAGCTGATGTCGACATCGTCGCATTATGCCAGCGTCTTTCAAAAGGAACAGGCTGCCGATGCGGTGCAGGTGTTGAAGCACCTTGGGTGGGCTCCGCAGCGTTTCGACAGCAGGCCGGCCCTGTGAGCAATTTTGTTTTGCTTTAGTAAGTCAAGAGACACTGAGTCACTACTTAGACAAGACATAGCCAAGAAAACTGTCCCGTCAGGAAGACACCGTATTCGCGGCTGAGTGTGCGTCTGAAAACAAGCTGTGTCTACACTGGCCACCGAATATGAGGGTGATGATCCAGAAAGAGCGGAAGCGGCGAGGTACCTGCTGGAGGAGCTGTCAGGGTACCACTCAAGCCGCTGGCTTCTGGTTCTGGGCGGCATGCTCGCCGACCTCCTCTTCGAGCATTCCAGATGGGTGCATGCAGGAGACGTGGATGACCCTGACCCCGTCGCTGTGACCAAGGCAATGCACACGTTCATGGAAAGGTGAGTCTTCTCTTCGTGGAGGGCCTTGCCGTGGCCGAATCTTTCCGAGGATTTACGTCGGAAGTCTTGAAGTTCTTACAGACCCCGAGAGTCGTGTACGCAAAGAAAACTGAGTTTGTCATGTCAGTGACGCCAGAGGACTTGACAAGGTGCCTGGGTCTCATGCGTGACCTCGTTGCAGCTGTGAAGGCTTGAAGCGTACAAACCCGAGTAATATTCCCACGTGCAGGAACTTAAAAGTAACCTTTCAGTAAGCCCAGCATCCAGCCCTGACAGGTGATGGTGTCTGCAGTGTCTCCAAGCGACCTGAGCTGGCAGAGTCAGTTCGCTTCTTATCGCTTGCCCTCTCCTTGGAACCAGCAGAGTCATGATTTCAGTCACCTTCGCGAGCGTGACAGAGAGACTCTCAAGAGCAAACTGCGGGCCAGTCTGGTGCGCATATGGGCGACTGCGGGGCGCGACACCGAGCAGTGTTGGTGTGAGTACTTGAAGCTGCTGCCCCGAGCCGAGGCCAACTACAAGGAGGGAATGAGTCTGAAACAGGCCTGGGCGGCTGCGTCCAGAGACTTTCCGGAACTCTTGCACGCACACACATATGCATTCTGCAACACCATGCCTGGTGAATTCCGACCCTGCTCGGGAAAAGGGAATGAAGCAAGGCAATGACCCGTTTGACCATAAGGGAGAACCGACCAAACCGCCCAGCAGATTTGGCTTCTATGCTCAAAAACTTGTCGGTGCGTAATGCCATATTATATGATATTGTGTGATACTATGTGATACTATGTGCTATTCTAGTGTTATAAAATATGTTGTAGCATTTTACTTTCTATCGTAGTTTACTTTACATTTATTTGTGCTGTATTATATTTTTTTATAATATATCATCTTATATTCTATGATATTTCTTTATGTTATGTTATGTTATGTTATGTTGTGTTATGTTATGTTATGTTATGTTATGTTCTTATATTATATTATCTTATGTTATATTATGTTATATGATGTCTCTTATTATATTGTATTATAAGAAACATTTTCTTCAGATATTCTATGTTACTTCATTTTTGGATTATCATATTTTTCTGTTTTGCTTTATGTTGTTATGTTAGATGATAGTAAATAGAAAAGTATTATAATATCATTCATTATAGTGTACTTTATCATATTATATTCTTTTGTATTTTTAAAATATTTTTCTATTAGATTTTATTAGATACACAATACATGATAAAATATTTTTTATATTGTATTTTATATATTATATTCTATTATCTTGTATTGCATTGTACAAAATATATTGTACTATATTGTATCAAAATTAAATAAACATAAAACTGCGTTATATGAGATTTTATTATATATTATGTTACATTATCTTCTATTATCTTTATCTTTATCTTATCTTATCTTATCTTATATTAGATTGTACTACATCATATTACATGAAATTGTGTTATGTGATTTGTATTGTCTTGTCTCGTCTTGTCTTGTCTTGTCTTGTATTGTATTGCATTTTATGAGTTATTACTTTCTTATTCACACGCATACACACATATGGTGTCGTAGTAGTCGTAGTAGCTCCCCACCCATGGCTCCATCCC